TCTGCATCAGGTGCTCAGGAACAAAGGTGTGTATGAGAGTGTGAAGTATATCCAGCAGGAGAACTTCTGGATCGGCCCCAGCTCGGTGAGGGGCCCAGTCCAGGGACAGCATCTCAGCAGGGAGTCGCTGGGCCCTGTCATCCCCAGCTGGGCAGGGAGGGGCGTGGGTGGCTTGCCCCATAGTCCCCCCATCGGGGGACCCTGAGGGGAGACCCTCAACAGAGGAGCCAGGTCGGCGCCCGAGCTTCCTCCCTCTCCCTCCAGATTGACTTGATTCACTTGGGAGCTAAGTTCTCACCCTGCATCCGGAAGGACCGGCAGATCGAGCAGCTGGTGCTGCGCGAGCGGCACCTGGAGAGGGACTCGGGCTGCTGTGTCCAGAATGACCACTCGGGCTGCATCCAGACCCTGCGGAAGGACTGCTCGGTGGGTCAGGGGCCGCCACGAACCCCAGGCCCTCCAAGCCTGCCAGGCCCACTCTGGCCCCAGCTCCGTCCCCGTCCCCACCTGCACTTGGGGGAGGGGTCCTTCACCAGTATGACCTTGTTCCCTACCCCCTTCCTTTGCCCTCCCAGCCTCCCACACCCCTGTCCTCCGCCCACAGAGCAAGGGTGCCAACCACCCCAGCCCCGTGGAAGTGGAAGGCAGGTCTCAGGAGTGTCAGCTGGGGTTGGGGGTCTGGGGGATGGACTGGAGCCCAGGGGCACAGGGGTAATGGCCTTCTCTTGGAGGGTCCCCTGCCTGCTCCGATGACCTTGTTCTAGCCGTGACCAGCCCATTTCCATCCTCCAGGAGACCTTGGCCACTTTTGTCAAGTGGCAGGATGATACAGGGCCCCCCATGGACAAGTCTGATGTGGGCCAGAAGCGGACTTCGGGGGCTGTGTGCCACCAGGACCCCAGGTGCAGTCCCAGGGTGACCTGGAGCTGGGCTCAGAAGATGGGGTTGAGTATCAGGTTGTCTGTGCCACCCCAGGGATGGTGGGAGTTGGGGGGTGCCATAGCTCCTCATCTTAACCCCTCTGACCTCTGCCTCCAGAACCTGTGAGGAGCCAGCCTCCAGCGGCGCTCACATCTGGCCTGATGACATCACCAAGTGGCCTGTGAGTGTCCAGGACCGGGAGTGGTCTGGGAAGGGCAGGGAAGGGGCCCCTGTTGCCACACAGGCCCATCCTCCTGTCGGTGCCCCTCCCACAGATCTGCACAGAGCAGCCCAGGAGTAACCACACAGGCTTCCTGCACGTGGACTGCCAGATCAGGGGCCGCCCCTGCTGCATTGGCACCAAGGGCAGGTGAGCCAGCCAGCGTGCCCCCTGGGCTTCCCAGCTCCTCCTCCACCATCCACCTCTGCTGCTGCTGTCCTCCCTCCCCAAGAATGGGGTCACGGGGGTATGACTAGGATGAAAGGGAGCTTGCCTCACAGCTGGGGTCCCTGTAGGGGGCATCCCTTTTCTGCCAGCCGTGCCTGCTGTGGCAAGGCATTGGGCACCGGGTAAGAGGGCAGGAGTGCTCAGAGCCCTGATGTGTCCCCTTGCCCCCCATCCCTGCAGCTGCGAGATCACCACTCGGGAATACTGCGAGTTCATGCACGGCTACTTCCATGAAGAGGCGACGCTCTGTTCCCAGGTGAGGCAGGGCATGGCAGGAGCCGGGCATGGCAGCCTGCTGGAGCTGGCCTCATGTATTCTCCTCTGCAGCGCATACCTGGCTTTGCCCCTCACACTGCAGCCTCCCACCCAGCCAGGTTCCGGGCACTGACCACCATGCGCTTGCCCCCAGGTGCACTGCTTGGACAAGGTGTGTGGGCTGCTGCCCTTCCTCAACCCTGAGGTCCCAGATCAGTTCTACAGGCTCTGGCTGTCTCTGTTCCTCCACGCTGGGTAAGAGGCTCCTCCTGCCCCCCAACCCCAGGCCGCTGTGGGGGCTGCCCACATGAACTCAGGGAGGACGGGCTCCTAGACCAGGGCACAGCCAGCACAACCTGCTGGACTCCACGGCTCCTGAAGTGCCTAGCTGGTGGCCACAGGTAGGCGTGGGAAGGCCATTGCCTGGTGTGTCCCCCGTCAGCGTGGTCCACTGCCTCGTGTCTGTGGTCTTCCAAATGACCATCCTGCGGGACCTCGAGAAGCTGGCTGGCTGGCACCGCATTGCCATCATCTTCGTCCTGAGCGGCATCACCGGCAATCTCGCCAGTGCCATCTTCCTCCCGTATCGGGCAGAGGTAGGGACTCAGGGCATGGGCAAGGTGGGCTGGTTCTGCGGCATCCCACCCCTCCTGCCAGGTCTGCCAGAGGGCCGCATGGCCCCTCCCATGCCAGGCTCAGCAGCGGCTGGACAGCTAAGCTGGGGGCTTATCGGCCAATCCCTTAATCCCCGGGGGGTGGATCGGGGGAGCACCACTGCCCCTGAGTCACACCCAGATGTCACCTCCAGAAAGACCTTCCCAGACCCTATCCCCTACTCGTACTCTTCTCTGATTCCTTTCTCTTCATGACCATGACTGCCCACCTGCTGACATGTCACCTATCCATGGATTGAGGTGGATGGATTTGCCAATGTGCAACCACTCTTGACCCACAAAAATGGCATTTTTTTTTTATCGGTTCACCCTAATGCTGTTGGCTTATTCAGTGTCTTCCCTCCCCACTGCTTGCTGCCTGGAGCAGGCCTGTCCAGATTATTGTACTGGGCATACGCCGGCCACATGTTAGGGGCTCGGTGTTGGCAGAAGCCCTGGGTGGAACACGCCCAGCTTGGGTCCAGCAGCTCCGGCCACCTCCCGGGTCCCCACCCCTGGGAGGAGCTCATCGGTAGGACAGCTCAGGTCCTGGGGCTCCCTGCCCCAGCTGCCCACGTGGCACCTGGGAGTGACGCTCCCCCCGCCCTGGTGACGCAGGTGGGCCCGGCCGGCTCGCAGTTCGGCCTGCTGGCCTGCCTCTTCGTGGAGCTCATCCAGAGCTGGCAGCTGCTAGAGCGGCCCTGGAAGGCCTTCCTCAACCTCTCGGCCATCGTGCTCTTCCTCTTCGTCTGCGGCCTCCTGCCCTGGATCGACAACATCGCCCACATCTTTGGCTTCCTCAGCGGCCTGCTGCTGGCCTTCGCCTTCCTGCCCTACATCACCTTTGGCACCAGCGACATGTACCGCAAGCGTGCCCTCATCCTGGTGTCGCTGCTGGTCTTCGCCGGCCTCTTCGCCTCGCTGGTCATCTGGCTGTACGTGTACCCCATCAACTGGCCCTGGATCGAGCACCTCACCTGCTTCCCCTTCACCAGCCGCTTCTGCGAGAAGTATGAGCTGGACCAGGTGCTGCACTGACCAGACCACCGCCCGGCAGGGACGGGCGCAGTGGCTCCACAAGGCACTGCCCCTGTGGGGACCCTGCCTGGGCGGGCTGCCTGTCTAGATACCCCACCCCGGCCCCCTGCACCAGGGGGGCTGACTCTGCAGAGTTGGCCATAAAGGCAGGTTCCTGGGGGCAGTGAGGCCCCTTCCTCAGGCCTGTGTGCCCTGGCCCAGGCTGGGAGACGCTCCGAGCACATGCTGCTCTGCAGCTTGGGACCCCACTCTGACTGCTCCCTCCTCCCATGCTGTCGGGACCAGCTCCTGGGGATGGGCTCTTCACCGAGGTCTCGGGCCGCTGCCCATGGCCCACCACAGCCTCTGCTGGTGCCGATCTCTCCCCACCATTACTGTGAGCGTGCCCTCACCCAGGACATGGCCGGGGTTCCCACCAGGCTCCCACCCCGGCCTCAGCCAGGCTACCCTTCCTGTTCTCCCCTCTCTGCCCTACAGCACGGAGCTCATCAGTGGCCTGGTGAGCCTGCCCATAATGCTCCAGACTAGACATTACGGAGAGAGGCTCTGGCTGTGGTCCGGGGCAGAGGAGCAAGGAGACAGCTGGACTTGTTCTCAGCAAACAGGCCCTGCCCCTCCGAGCCCTGCCCGGCCCTCCCTCCGAGTCAGTGTCCTGCCCCGTGGGCCAGACTCTGGGGACAGCCGGCCCACCACGCCTGCCTCACTCCCATCCAAATGAGCGGCCACCCCAAGGCCTGGTTTTATATTATGTCTTATATTATGGTCCTAATTTTTAAAAGTAACGCTAACTTTGTGTAGATGATGTCTCAAATGTATTAAATGAATATTCTTTAGGGAATTGCCTTCTGAGGACTTGGGTAGAGTGAAAGCTGGAACTTTATTTTGGGGGCTAAAGGGGGTCAGCCACAAGCAGCTTGAGGGGAGGGCCTTGGCCCAAATGGACGGTGGAAAACCTGTAGGACTTCTGGGGGATTGGGCTGGACGAGAAACCAGGTTAGGTCAGGTGGGGAACGTCAGGCAGTCCCTTAAGAGGGCTGCGTAGAACCCTTAGGCTCCTGGGTCCCCTGCTCCAGCTGGCGCAGCAGCAGGAGTGGGTGGGCCATCCTGGCAGGGACAGTGTGGGGAAGAGGCACCGCACTTGCGCGTCCATTCCAGCCCCAGGTGCACCCACTCACTGCGCCTCACCCACAGCCCTTCACCCCACACACACCCGGGAGACGACAGGCACAGCCACTTTATGTGAGGCACTGGAATGAGGGGGCAGACAGAGTGGGTCCCAAGGTGGCCCCTATCTGTCCTTGCTCTTATCTACCCCCCATTTCTGGGCTGAGGGCAAGAAGGGGTGCCCCAGAGTCTGGGAGGTAAGGGGCCCCTGAGTCCCTCCTACCTGCCCAGAGGGTCCACCATTGGTTCCTGAGAACAAGGGAGTCACTGAAGCAAGGCCAAAGGATGCCTCCCACTGTCCCCAGGTACTGATCCAGCCCTGCCTTGAGCAGTTGGGAATGCTGGAGGCCCAGAGGGGTCTCCTGTGGACAGACCAGAGGACACACCACTTGTGCTCCAGCTGGGCAGTCTAGCCTGCCTCTCTGTTTCACCACTCCCCTTTGCCACTGCCTGGGGATCTGTCTCCCCTCATGGTCAGCTGAGCTGGGGCGAGGCCAGAGCAGAGAAGGGGACATCTGGGGCTAGATAGGAGCCCCAGCCTGCTTTCCCACAGCCCTGGCATGTAGCTGTGGGTCCCCGAGGTGGGTGGGTGACCAGGCCAGTTCAGCAGCTGCTGTGTGCTGTGAGGCACAGCTCTGCTGGGAGCCCTGGAGCTCAGTGAAGCTGAGCAGGCCCACAGTGGCAGCACATGGGCCCACAGGACGGAAGCCGAACCTCTGGTAAGAAGGGCACAAGGGTATCCTCCCACATGAGCACAGCCTGGCCCAGAGCTGGCTGGCCACCCAGATGGTGCAGGTAGCACCGCAGCAGGATGGAGCTCTTGCCCTGCTGCCGGGATGTGTGGTCCACAGCCAGCACGCTCGGATGGGCTGTGCGGCCCTCAGGCCTGTGCAGCATCAGGGACTCCTGGGAACAAGCAGGGACACGATTCCTGGCCACCTCTGCTGACACCTGCCCCCCAAACCACCCCCACTCAGCCAAGAGCACATGTCCAATTAGGCCTCGCCTCCCATCCAAGGAGGGCACCAAATTGGGAGCTACATGCCCCCAGTAGGAGCCTTCATGAGGGTCTTTGGGACCCCAACAGATCCTTGGCCTGTGCTCAGCCCCCCCAGCCCCTGGGCTCCTCCCCACTTCCGATGAGGCTGTTCCAGGGACAGGGCGTCACACACCACCTTGCCCTTGCCAGACTGGGTCTCTCCTCATCCCAATGGGAGCCGATGATGAAGGCGGCCAGGCGGCCCTCCTCAGACCAGCCCAGGGACAGCTCCGGACACAAGGTCAAAAAGTGTCAGATCTCGTCCAGATCCAGGGGGCAAATGCCCGAGACGGAAGTGAAGGCTATGGTGGGAGGCACGGGGGGTGGCTTAGTGGTCACTGTGCCATGTGCCCACTCTCCACTGTATGCCGAGCATCTCTCCCCACCCCTCACCACTCCCTGGAAAATGGAGGATACAGGGCTGCTGTTCCCCCCACTTTTCTGAACACGCACTCTTCATAGTCTGATACCCTGGGGACCCAGACACCAAGGACAGGGCCTCCTCCCACGGGACAACTGCAGCAGAGCGCACTAGCGTGGGACCCTGTGTGGGGGCTGCGCCCCTTCACGCTCCATCTCGAACACACTGTGGCATCCTCTGGGGTGAGGCAGTGAAACTCACTGGCAGGAAGCGTGTGGCGTCGCTGACGGCTTGGGGACTCTGGGGGCCCAGGTGGCAGGCACAGGGCCACAGGCTACAGGTGGTGGAAGCTCTGTATGGACATCCTGGTCACTGGCGCCTCCTTGCAGTGACCCAGCTTCAGAAGTGGCCTCTGAATTCAAGGAGAGCCGCCCAGCACCTGCTGGAGGGGAGCCGAGGTCAGGGGCTGGTCCCTGCCGCCGAGAGGGGCGGGCCGGGGTGGCATGCGGCTTGCCTCTGGTAGCTGGACCCAGGGTGGGGCTGGCCCCAAGGTGGAGTCTGGGGACTGTAAACGGTGGTGCTCTCCCCACCCTTCCCTCCCAGCCAGAAATACCCATGAACAGCCCCTCAGAACCTCCAGATCCTGGCCTCACTGCTCTTCTGAGCCCTAGGAGGTGGTGGGAGAGGTGCTAGGGCTCCGTGGAGCCTGAGGCACCCCAACACTGCTACCCAAAGTGGGAGGAGAGGGAGCCTCCACCGAGCACTTCTAATGCTGCTGTGGTTTGCCTCGCCTACCCAGACGGAGACTCTCCTGTCCTCTGGGTGCAAGATGCTGTGGCTGGGAGCTTTATAGGCGCCCTCGGCCCTGGAGAAAAGGCCCCTTAAAGTGGGTCTTCAAGCAGCCTCCGCGTTAACACAGATAGCCTCCGGCTGGGCTGTGCATGCACAGGGAGGGATTGGGGAGGCTGGGGGATCCTGGGCACACTAGACACCCCTGTCTGCTCCCGGGGCGCTGGTGGGCCTCTGTGGCACCTTCTCTCTCTCCGTGACACCTTGCAGATTTGCAGTTCTTAGGAGGAGCCATCGCCCCCTCGGAAGTTAGCCCCCTGGCTTCCGCTTCGGCCCTGCCTTTCCTCCCCTAGAAGCCCCCCGGAGGGTAGCTCCTGTTCCTGATGCCTGGGGGCCCGGGGGGAGGGTCCCACTTACCACTTCCCGGGTGTTGTCACTGCAGAACCAGTCACCCTGGGGGTTGTCCAAGGCACAGGAGCCAGGAAGATCCGCGACTCCAGGGTGAGTGGCCATTGCAGCCCGTGTCACTGGGCAGCATGTACTGTCCTCAGAGATCCCTAAGCCCCCTCCCACCTTCCTGCTACACCAGGCAGGACAAAGCCATCTGGCTCTGGCAGCAACACGCCAAGGCCTGCGTGCTGTGGATAAACCGCCAGCAGAGCACACTGGGTGCAAAGGGGATTACAGTGGCTCCCTGAGGCCCCAGCGTTTAGGGGGAAGAGCACAGGGCTAAGCCTTGGGGGTCCAGCTCTAATCCCTGCCCTGGTACCTACCGCCTGGGACGGGCCTCCATCCTCTGTTTCCTGGAGCCTAAAGCCAGCCCACCTTGAGGGTCCTTCCAGCTCCCACAGCCCGAGGGCTACCATGTGTGCTTCCCACATCCAAGCCCAGGTTAGAGTCTCTGCTCTGCATGACAGCCCCGCCCCATCTAACTCCTTTCATAGATAAGGAAGCTGAGGCTCAGAGAGGTTAAATAACCTGCTCAGAGCCTCTCAGCAAGCAAGTCAGCAAATCAGGAGAGGCGAGCCCAGGTCTGCCTCCCACTTTCCCACTGTAACAGCAGGGCCATTGGGCCCAGTGGATTTTCCAGGGGGCTGGTTCACGTCCTCACGGTTCTCCTGCTCACCAGACAGTGTCCTCAAGTCAGGGTCTACCAAAGCGAAGGAGGCCTGTGGGTGGCCCATGGGCCTTAGGAGGAAATGCCCAAATTTGGCTCCAGGATGTGCAGGTGGAGCCAGTAAGCCTGGAGTGGCAAGGCTGCTGTCTGCAGCGCTCCGACCTTGCTGCATAGACAGGGGCACACCACGCAAAGGGCTGGGTCATGAGACACGCCCTCTACGTCCTGCCCTCACAAATGACCTCCCCCATTCCATGTGTACCCAAAGTTTGGACCTGAAGCATGCCTCTTTTCCCTGTGCTTTGGGGGGATTCCCAGGTCCAGAGGTGGGAGTGAAACCCTCATGCTCCCTGCTCGGCAGCAACGCTGGGCCATCTGTCACAAAGACCAGCCCAGAAGACCCTGACCCACATCCTCCTTCTGTCCCTTCATAACCCCCATCTTGTCTGCTGGCCATCACCCCAAGGGACTTAAACAAGCCCGAGGCGGAACAGCCACCACTTTGGGAGACTGGCTGTCCTACTAAAGCTGCACTGCCCCGCTACGGACACACGGACGCAGACCATGAATCCCTCTCCTCCGTGGTCCCATGCACACGGAAAGAGCAACAATGTTGCCCTAGTGGAGACAATCCAAATGACTGTCAACCGCAGAAGGGACTGTGGACTATACACAAAATGAGGGTCCTTCAGCAGTGACAGCAACAAACCGTGATGACTCGGCCCCCAGATGACTCGCCAACACGACCCTGACTGACGAGCCATAAATGAAGAGCCAGAGTGTGAGATTCCAGGGATTCTGTCCTAACCCTTGCGTGAGAAGCAGGACAGTCCTGCCCAAGGGGGCCTTTTGAGCTGCTGCTAGTGTAACATCGGGTATTTGGCTGAGAACTGGTTCCAAGGGATGGAGGTGCTGGGAAGTCACCAGGCTGCCAATTGTGTACTTCTGTTATGTACATACTACTTGACCTTTAATTAAACGTTTGGGAGATAATTCTACCTAATATATCCACTCCGAAGTTCCCCGACTACCAATGGCCCCAGCTTCTCCCCTGTCTGCACCTGGTGTGGGCTTTCCCTCTAGAATCCGAGGCCGTCAGACTGCCTTCCGCTCTTCCATCTCACGCCCCCTCCAGGCCCCTCTCTCTCCTGCAGAACGCCTGGCTTCCCTTCCCCTCTAGTTTACGCCCTTCCTGCAACCATTAGCTCTTCCCTTGCCAGTATCCACCCCTGTCCTTCTGCCACATGCACCCTCTGCCCCATCAGGGCCTGTGCACCTGCACAGCAGGGCTGAACCCCATCCACCCACTGCGGAGGGGCCGCCTGCCTTACCTGTGAGCGGCAGGGAACCACAGGGCCAGCCCTGCCCGGTGCTGCTGGGACCCACATGCCCTGACCCTGGGGTGCCCTAGGATCAGCCCAGATGTACACCACACCCACATTCCTATCCGTAGGGTCCCCTTCTCCCAGGGCCCCTCTGCTGACGCCCAGCAGAGCCCCCAGAGCTCACCACGCCCCCCATGCTGACTGCCACCCATCAGGTTCTCATCTTTCCCCTGTGGAGACCCACGACAGGTCTCTCAGGACTGACCAGACCTCCTCAGGCTTGGCCTTTGGGCCTTGGAGGGGGAACCTGTCCAGGACCTGGGTTGGGCACCCCCACTTCCAACCTCAAGGTCCCAGAAAGGCCTCCTCTGTCCTTCTTACACCTTCTGGCTCCACTGTGCCCGCATGGCCAATCACAGCCATCTTGGCCTCCAGAGAAGGGAGAATGGTGAACCTGTCCCTCTCTTGATTGACCACAGGCCTGATTCCTTCTGGAAGACACCTCCGAACACATGGAACCTCAGCAAGCAAGAGGCAGTATATTAAATATGGCTAAATTGGGGAATCTGAGTCCCCCATGAGGGGGCAGGAGAGGGGACAGTGTTCACTGGGCCTCTGTCCTGGTCAACTGGAATATAATGACAGTGCACCACCGACGAGGGAAAGCTGGGGAGTGGGCTGTTGAGGGCCACACAGGGGTGATGGGGACCACGATAAGGCACCTAGAGAGTCTGGTGCAGCATGGCGGGGGGCATCCACCTGGGTCCAGGTGAGTGACGGCCTGGGCCCAGGGCGTCTGGGCTCTTCTTACATGGAGCCAACCAGCTCCCCTCTCCTTCCCTCCATGTGATGGCTGCCTGGTTCCCACTGCAGGGCCCAGGGAATCTACCTGGGGGAGACTATGAGGTGGGTCCCAGGAGAGACAGGGTTCATCACCCAAAGATGATGCTCTCAAGATACCAATTTTTCATGCAAAGCAATTCTAAGTCCCCAACAAGCAAGGGAGCAGCCCTCTACCTGGGCACTAGTGCCACCAATTGCTTTGTTCGGTGGCTTTGAGGGCAGCTTCTTTCTCCCAACTCCTCCCCAGCACATAAGATACTGCACACATTTTGCTTAACAGTATTTACCTTGCCAACCTTAGTCCATCCCATGCAGGTTTCCTGAGATGGAGAATTGTGTGTAGGAGGTTCACAGGGAGAGCTCTCAGGTGCAGCCCCTGTTGCGCACTGGGCAGAGGGAGAAGTCAGGCTGTGATGTGCAGCCAGGACAGAGGCCTTAGCCCATCTCACAGGGAGCTCAGGAGCCCATATGGGGTGGGGGAGAGGGACCTTAAGAGGCTCCAGGCAGGGCAGGCCTTTTTGTCCTGATCAGCCTTGGCTGAGGCAGCTTCCTTCAGCCGAGGGCAGTCTCTGCAGCAGAACGCAGCCGCGAGTCATCAGCAGTCCTAGCAGCTGGGGGATGAGTGTGCGGGGTCACTTTCTCAAAGCTGCCAAGAGCGATGCTAGCAGTGTCAGCATTAACCTCGGGGCCCTTGCCAGGGCGATAAATCCTGTAATGTGGAAAAGTGCTCCACAACAACTCTCCTTATGCAGCTTTATGCTTTCCCTCTCTGGAGCCAGCAGTTCCCATTCCCGTCCCCTGATGCCCCAGCTCCTGTCCACACCACGTTAGGACCTGAAGCAGGAACAGCTTCCTTCCTCTCTTAGGTGGCCCAGCACTTCACCACCTGGGTTATGTTGTGACTTAAACCTAGTTTGATCTGGTGCAAAGGGGGAGATGGAGTAGATCCCTGGGGATGGGGGAGCGACACGGGTCCTCCTAGGAAAAGTTGTAGTCTTAGAGCGCTAACAGCTAACTGGCAGGAGGGGGCCACACCTGTGAGGGTCTAGAGGGTCAGGGAGAACCTAGCCCTTCCAGAGTTTTGAGTGCAATGACTCAGATATCCCCAGATGTCCTAGAGACCCACTTTTTCTCTATTGGGGTCCTCCTTGGCATAGCTGACTCACTAAGGTTGAAAATTCAGTGTCCTCTGGGGTCCTGCAAATGTTATTAAGCCCAGAATCTGATCCTGTATTTTTCTCTGTCTCCTAATTTTAGGAGGTAAGTTTCTTTAAATGCTGCCAAGGAGAC